CGCTCCCTCAACAATCCGCCTTGGATCCTTCTATGTATGCAAATAAGCTTATTGGAAGGAAATGTCCGCTCGATCAGCTGAGGAAGCACTTATACATTTGCCAACGTGTACTAACTAAAAAAGGCATGCAGTTTTGAAGGATTCCGCTCAGTTGCAAAGTATTATTTCAGCTCTCTGGCATGTCTTGATTAGCCCCTTAATTAGTTGATGAGAGCTTCTCCTCACATGGGTTTTTTGATGAGTGTTTCCTGCTGGATAAGTGCCTCGAAAGCGGCTGCGCGTGCTTCCATATCTTTTCGTGTTTGCATGCAATTTCTGATTCGTTCCTCGAAATTTTTGTCAAAAATCAGACTGAGCATTTGCGTTCGTTTTGCACTCTCTTGTTGCACTTGCCTCTGTAAATTTGTTTAAATCTGTAAAAGTTTTTTACAATCCCTTTGTCCCTCCTCGGTTTCTTTACCGATTTCCGAAGAAACCCCCCGCATATTAACGGTGTACTGGGCGAATGCTTATAGCCGCTCATGTTGTCAACATAGAGTTCAAGGGATATCAGAATTGAGCAAAGGTGATCCAGGAGAGGAGAGGGGAGGTGGGCGCAGGTATCAGTGCAGTGCCCGGGTCTAAAGCTAAAACTAAAGTCTAAAGCAACTCTAAACCAAAGTAACCCTAAGCAGCAATATTACAACTCTATTCCTAGTTTTTACATAGTTCTAGCGTGGGAGAGGTCTCTCTTGTTCACCCCCGTCGCCTTCCCTCTAAGTCCCCTCTAGAAATCCGTCCTGGAACGGCCTATGAGATTTGGCATAGTTACTGCTAAACCAATAAGTGCGATTCCATATCGAAAGACCTCCACAGTGGCGATTCAAGCGGTTTTGATGATTTTGACATTTAGGCGATTTTGCTAAAAATCCAATAGCAAAATGAGGAGAAATCATCTTGTGAATGTAGCGACTTCAGTCCAAATGGTGCACAGTCTGGTTTTTGCTAACCAGTTTTGTGAAAATCTTTTTTTATTTTGTCGCCCTACTTTTTTTTTTATTTTTTTGCCTTTTTGATTAGCTGTTTTATCATAGTGTTGCGATCGAGGTGAGTTTACGCACTGCTTATCCTGGCTTTCGTTCCTCCGCTTTCTTTTTCTGTTGAAATTCTGGAGGAATTCTGCTAAAAGGTATCGCATTCCTGGTTAAGTATTGGAAAATGTTGCATTGCTGCTGACAGGTTGTAGCGACAAGAGGTAAGCATGTGTTTGGCCGTCCCAGTTTGCTTAATAACAAATAACTATATTCGTTCATGATGTTTTTTATCCAAAGGAGAGTGTATGGATTTCCGGCACAAAGGATCCCAGTTCTAGGTGTTCCGGTGAAGTGATCTGGAAGATCATTACGTGGCTGTATTTGCCCTGTTTTTCGCCAAAAAAATCTGTTAAAAAATCTTAAATGTGCTACCATAAGCCTGTTCATAGCCTCAATTTCGTTGGCAGGTGGTCGTCCATCACTTCGTTGACTGGTCGAAGCTGTAGCACTTCGTGCTGTATGTAAACTTCGCTCGTTCAATGATACGGTGTTCTCGCTTCCCTCCGAGGTTTCTGACTGAATAACATCTGGCACATAGGTATTCTCACTGGCATCGAATTTCCGGAAATCACCACTCATTGTAACAAAAACTTTCTAAACAATCAGAAATGAGGGATAATTTTACTCTTTTATGAAGAACGAAGAATGAGGAATAATCTCAATGTCGATTGATTTCTATGCATATTAAAATTAGTTTAAGTTTCCTTCTAAGCTGAATTTTTTAATATGCAAATTTTTGATATCCCCCGTTTAACTTCCAAACAACAGAGCTGTAAATTTTCAACGTATTATGCGAATATTAAAATTTTGTAACTCTCATCTCTTGCATTAATATTAATTTTATTAATTTACAAATTTTGTAATTCTCATCTCTTACTTTCCTTTCTCTTCATCTCTTCTCGTCCGTTTTTTTTAATATATACCTTCCTATTAATATACATTTCTGATTAAAAGCAATTTGGTGCACCCTTATAGATGCAAATTCGTTCCATCAGACGTCCAAATGGATTGATGACGTTCGTACGGAAAGAGGAAGCGATGTGATCATTATGCTTGTAGGCAACAAGACCGATCTGGCCGATAAACGGCAAGAGATTTTACTTATTTTTGTCAGAGCGAGAGAGAGGGGAAACACTTCTAGACATATTTTTATTCTTATTTTAACGTGTAAGTTTGAATTTTCTGGAAAATTTGAGCGTTCTTTTTTTTATAGTTTTGTGCTGTGTAACAGCAGTACAAAACGTATATTGTCACGGGATTGTCTGTGTGTGTGGTTGTGTGTGTGTGTGTGTGTGTGTGTG